ATCACCCTCCGATCACCAATCACCGGATCGGCCCCTTGACCAGGCCTGAGGCCTCCAGCAGAGGTGTCAGGCCTGGGCAGGGGACCCCCAGCTCCCCGCGATTGCAGGCTCCGCCCCTGCCCAGGCCTAACGCCTCTGGCCGAGGCGCCCGGCCCGGGCAGCGTGGACCCACAGCTGCAATGGCCCCGCGATCGCTCGCGGGCTCCGCTTTAGGCCCAGGCATGGGACTGCCAGCTTCGACCGTGCCCAGCTCCCATCGCTGGCTCCACCCCTACTTCCTGCTATCACTGGCCAGGGCGGCAAAGGTGCCCGATTCTCTGATCATAGCTGGGGGGCAGGGCAAAGGCGGCCCCCAGGGCTGCCCCCTGGCTCTTAGCCCCCCCCTGGGTTTCCTTCCAATCACCGTGAGTGGCAGGGGGCTTCTTCCTGCTTTCCCTTTCGCCTCCCTGCATTGTGCCTACATATGCAAATTAACCGCCATCTTTGTTGGCAGTTAACTGCCATCTTAGTTGGCAGTTAATTTGCATATCACCCTGATTACGCAATGAAAGGGTAGCGGTCATACGCCAATTACCATATTTCTCTTTTATTACTGTAGATTTCTCAATTTTATTTCAGTTGTTTTAAATTTCTCTAAACAGTGGTTTGTAGTTTTTAGTGTATAAGTCTTGTACATATTTTGTAAAGTTTATCCCTAAGTATGTCATGTTTTTAATGTTATTTCAGTTTCCTATTATTTGGTGCCAATATATAGAAATATAGAGTTTCTGTGTACATAAGCACATTGTCTGCAAATAATGACAGCTATTACTTTCCAATCTACCTACCTTCCATTTATTTATGTATTTATTTGTTTGTCCTAACTGCATTGATCACAGCCTCCAGTACTGTTGGGAGTAGAACTGGTGCGATCCTGTTTTTGATCTTGGGGGAAAGGCTTCAGTCTCGCCGTTAAGGACGGAGGTAGCTGTAGGCTTGCTGGTAGCTGCCCTTGATCAGGTCGAGGGACTTCCCTCCTGCTCGCTTTCTGCTGAGAGTTATGGCCATGAACAGGTGTCTAATTGGGTAATGCTGTTCCTGTATCTGTTGAGGTGTTTACATGTTTTCCCCCCCATTGTTTTTTTAATACAGAGTGGGACAAAGGTAGGTTTACAGTTGTTTATATGGAAAATAACATAATAATGATTAAATAACAATATAAGGATCAACTGTTTCTAGTACTCAACTGCAAACCTACTTTTGCCCCCCCCCCCCATAATGACTTACTTTGGTTGAAATTTGAATGTTAGACTACCTTCTATTTCTGGGATAAACCCCACTTGCTCATGATGTATTGCCATTTAAAAAATATTTTACAAGATTCAGTTTGCTGCTATTAAAGCTTTTTCACTTAAATTCATGAGAAATATTAGTTTATAGTCTTCTTGTAACGTCCTTGTCTAGTTTTAGCGTCAGGGTGATAAATACGAAGATAAGTTGGAGAGTATCCTTTTTCCCCTATTTTCTAAAAATGTTTGTGTTGAAATGATATTTCTTCTTTGAGTATTTATTTGGTGGCATTCACCAGCGAAGCCTTCTGTGCTAAGAGTTTTCTGTGTGGTAGGACTTTTAATTGCAAAATTTATTCATTTATTTAAAATATATTTCTTTTATTGACTTCATAGAGGAAGGGAGAGGGAGAAAGAGAAAAACATCAATGATGAGAGAGAATCATCGATTGGCTGCCTCCTGCACACCCCCCACCGGGGATTGAGCCCACAACCAGGGCATGTGCCCTTGGCTGGAATCGAACCCAGGACCCTTCAGTCCGCAGGCTGATGCTCTACCCACTGAGCCAAAACAGCCAGGGCAAAAACTTACTCAATAGCTATAGGGCTCTTCAGATTCTCTGTTTCTTCTTGAGTCTTTCGATAATTTCTATCTTTTAATGAATTTGTCCCGTTCATCTAAGTAATCAAATTTATTTGCATAAAGTTGTTTACAATATTCTCTTATTATTCTTTAGAAGTCTGTAGTATCTGTAGTAATGTCACTTCTTTCATTCCTGGTACTGAAATTTTATATTTTCTCTCTCCCTCCCCATCTCTTCCTCTTCCTCCTCCTCTCCCTTCCCCTCTTCCTTCTCTTAATCCTCTCTTCCCTTCCTCCTTCTCCTTTTCTTCATCAGTTCTAGCTAGAAGTTTATTGGTTGTATTGATTTTTTTCAAAGCCTTTATTTTTATTAATTTTTCTCTATGGTATGTTCATTTTCTGTTTCATTTATTGAGGCATTTTATTCCCTTCTATCAACATTGGGTTTAATTTGCTTATTTTTAGTTTCATAAAAGAGAAACTTACATTATTGAATTTGGACCTTTTTTCATTTCTGACATAAACATTTTAAGCTATAAATTTCCCTCTAAGTATTGTTGTAGCCATATTACACAAAATTTGTAACGTGTGGTGTTTTCATATTTATTCAATTAAAAATATTTTTTATTTCCTTTGTCATTTTTCCTTTGATGAGTTATTTAGAATTATGCTGTTTAATCTCCAGATATTTGGATTTTTCCAGATATCTTTCTGATTGCTTTATGGCTCAGCATAGGACCTGTCACTTGTAAAGAATGTGCCCTCGTTGTAGCTGGGTGGAGTGTCCCGTAACGTCGGCCAGATCAAGTTGGTTCATGGTGTTTGTGTCTTCCACGTCCTCACTGGTTTTGTGACTTCCTTCGGCTGCTGGGAGAGTGTTGGACTCTATCATTTTCTAAATGTGGGTTTCTCTTCAGCCCTGTGAGTTGTTTCAGGTTCTTGGAAGTCCCACGCAGCTGGAGACATAACGTAATGGTATCAGAGTTCACTGCCACAAACTGCTTGAAAGCGTTATTCCAGCTCGCTCTGTCTTTCATTAACTCTTCACGAGCAGTTTCATAAAACATGCCCTCGGAAAACGTAGGCGTGAAGGCCGTGTGCTTACTCCTTATCGCATCAAACACATTTTTATTACATAAGATTGACAGCATGTTCACTTCTCCTGTATAATAAAAGGCTAGTGTGCAAATTGTCCCCCCCACCAGGAGTTCCACCAGGGGCGGGGCTGGCCAACCACCTGCCCACAGCCCCTCCCCCTGGCCGGCCGGTCCCACCCGTGCACCAGGCCTCTAGTTGGTAATAAAACACAAATCGGTTCCGGAAAGTGTGGTGAAGTGAAAAATAACACATGGTTTGAAGAAATCCAGATCCTGAGATTGGGGCTCCCTTTCCTCCGGGAACGAGGGTCCGGGCTGTGCCAGCAGGCAGCGAGCCCCCGTGTTGGCTGGCCTTAGACACGTGGGGTCACAGCTACACAAGAAGAGGAGCTGAGTGAGCTGAGCCACGCTTCACTGTGTGGGGGTGGGGGGGGTTGCCTTTGTCCAGGGAGGACCGGAGGAGCTCCTGGCTTTTTGGAGGAAGATCTGTTGGTTCTGTTTTGTCCAGATTTGGGGTGTGTGTGGATTACTCATACGAGAAGACTATTCCAAGTCCTCCCTGTGAAGCTACTAACCCCGCTGCTATTCAGACACGTGGCACAGTGACTTCTGACACACAAGCCAGTGTATCTAAGGGTGGTTGTTCCAAACGACTGGCTCTTAACCTGGATGAAAATTTTTTTTAAAGATACTTCTATTTTTTCAAACCAAAAGCCAATATATAGAGATTTAAAAAAGATAGGTAAAAATAGAAGTTAAATATTCCTTATTATACACTGGGAAGGCTGTCATTTACTGAAAGGTACAGAAACTGTGAGGATAATTTCCGCTGAACTTAAGCAAGTACAGTGCTTGGCAAGGCATCCAGGAAAACTCCAAATAGCCTGGTACCGTGTGATTTGGTTTCTCTCACGTCGGGTAAACAGTGGTTGTTTCGGGAATGCTGGTGCCTTGAACTGGCAGCGCCTTGCTGAGCGCGGAGGAACCGGTGGCAGCCCAGGTGCCAGGTTGGAAATGTCTGATCAGTGTCCAGCCCCCGGTGTGTGGTCAGCCTCAGTGGAACCCCTACAGAGCCAAGTTCAGAGCAGCGTAGTCCCCATTAAACCGCTGAGCTATTCCCCCCTGCCCCCGCCACATCTGACCAGCGCCGCTGGGAAGCCGTTGCTTCAATTTCTCCGCCAAGTACATTTTTAAAAGCTTATAAACAGGCAGTAAGTCAATAAAAGTTTAAGAAACACCAAGGGAGCTATGACCATCTCAACCTGATCTCAGTGCAAAGCCTTTGGACACAGCGCGCTCCTTGGAAGAAAGCAGGAGCCGCCTGCACTGGCGCCTGAGCGCGGTTTCCCCCCAGGCCTTGGGCTGCAGGCGGAGTGTTTGGGGCCCAGGAACTGACTGAGGCCTGTGTGGAGGGTCAGCCTGGACCGGGCCTTCCCCTCACTCACCGCCTCTCCTCCTCCTGCAGGAGGCGCAGCAGATGCTCGGGAGGCTGATCCCAGAGAAGCAGATCCTCAATGACCAGCTGAAGCAGGTCCAGCAGAACAGTCTGCACAGTAGGTGTTGCCTGTCCTTTTGCTTTTCACTGACGGGAATTTCCTCACTTGAAAGAATATTAAAAACCGGTTTTCCTCACCGCCAGTTGGTTTTCTGATCCTGCAGTGTTTTTCTAAAACAGGAGATTCCCTTCTTACACTCAAAAGGGCCTTGGAAGCAAAAGAACTGGCCCGCCAGCAGCTCCGAGACCAGCTGGACGAAGTTGAGAAGGAAACGAGATCCAAACTGCAGGAGATCGACATTTTCAACAACCAGCTGAAGGTAGCGTGCCGTGCCCGCGCCGCGCCCTGCCCCTCGCCCCCCCTCGCCC